CATAAATAAGAGAAAAAACTGAGGTGGCTGAAAAAGAATATTCAGGACTATGAAGATGGGAAACCCAAGCAGAGGAGACCAAAATAAGAAAATGCAAACTAGTGCACCAGAAACATGGAAGAAGGTAAGGAAAGCAATGGGGTTCGGAGAGGTGTAAAAAATGTCAGGTGAGCAGATAAAATGCATTCAAACCTTCAAAAAACCCACCAGCCAACACACTTCAGGGCTCCTTAAAACAAGTCAGAAAACCAAAATGGTTTTTGGTAGTTCAAGAACGATCTCTCTCAAACACCTCAGAACCAAATGGTTCTTTCAAAGTCTTGGCTTGGGAAAAGCTCTACTGGTGTTTTGGGGCTTAAAATATGGAAGAAATTAAAGAACAATTAATAATGAACACGGCTGGCCTGAAACATGTAGATGGGATGGTTTAGATATGGAGACTTTTTCCTAAGGGCAGCTGGACAAAGGGCCTGGCAAATGTGAAAAAAAAACCCAGCAATGAGCATGAGTTCTGCTGGTACTGAAGACATTTTCCTATAGGTTTTTTCAAAGCCTACATGGCTCATGGAGTGTGATTTTAAAAGCTTTGTGTCATATCTGAAGGTGATTTACCCACATCGCTGCACAGGACTGGGCAGAAAAGTGAATCCAACTCCCAGTAGCAGCAGAGCCAGCAGTGCCATGTAGCTGTGCCTGCATGGTTTTGGATCTGGGGATTAGTTCAGTCGTCAGTTCTTTGGGGCTCTCCATCCTGTGCTGCTTCCACAACACAGATGTGCTCTTGTTCCCATGCTGCATACCTGCAAATCTCAGTGAAAATTCAAAATTTGGGAGTGTACCTTTAGGTGTCCTGACAAAGAGCAAGCCCAGGAAAGCCAGAAGACCCCAGATGAGCTCCCCTGCCACTCCCAGAAAGAGAAACTGACTTTTAAATGGCATTTAGTAATTAAATGCTCTCATACAAGCTGCTGGAGGGAGCGAACAGTGAGCAACCAAAGTAATGAGCTAGAGAAGGTCAAGAGACAGGCAGTTTGTCTTCAGGGGCTTCACTCAGATGAGCACAAGGCAAGAGAAGAAGTGGCTGCAGGAGAAGGATCTCAGCCAGACCCAGCTCACTTACTGGTCAATGCTCTGAGGGTTGTTGGTTTCAGTCACATCTTGTTAAAAACAAATTTAAAACACTCCAGAAAAGAAAGAGCCTCCTTGCTTAGCTGGATGCCCAAGTCTGCACTTGAAGAGCTTGTTCAAGTTGGAGGGGAGAAGGCAAAACCTTTATGAGCACACAGTGAAACAAGAAGTATCTGAAGCCTTTCCTGTTTGAACTTCCAGGATTTGGCAATGGGAACAGGTTGCCCAGAGAAGCTGTGGCTGCCCCATCCCTGGAAGTGTTCATGACCAAGCTGGATGAGGCTTGGAGCAACCTGGTCCAGTGGGAGGTTCCAATCCCATGCAGGGGGGTTGGAACTAGAAGATCTCCAGAGGGAGATGTTCCAACACACACCAGTCTATGATTCTATGATTCACACCAGTGCAGGAAGAACGTCATTGTACTGGTTCTTTTCAAAGGTCTCCAACTCCAAGAAGAAAAATAAATCCTTATTCTCCTCAGTTTCAAAGTGGTCTCTTGCTTGCCTTTTCCCTCTAATAATTACTCTGCACTGCCTTTTGGGGCAGCTGGGGAAGAACAGTCCTGAGTCCCCACATCCCCCCTGGGGACTGTGCACTGTATGAGTGCATCACCACTGTGATCTGCAGTAGTGCACTGGTGCCATCTGATCCCAGTGACACTTGTGTCCCTGTGGCCAGAGGTTTAATCATAACTGAGGTTTCAGAAACCAGAATGAGAAACACCAGTGGGACCTCAGGATTTGTCAGGAATGACGACTGGATACCAACATATCTCCACTTCCAAAGCACACACCCTTTCAACACAACTCTGCAAACCAGCTAAGCCTTTGCTCCAGATTCAGGGCCCTGAGATGGTGCCCAAACACTTCTCCAGCCACAGACACACCTCAGAAAGGCTCAGTTTTACTGCTCACTTAAACAAACCCCAGGCATCAGCTACACAATTTCCTTAAGCCCAACTGCCCTTCACCATTGCCCCCCAGTTCTCTCCCTTGATAGAGTCATTCCTTGTATCCCCTCAGAAACCAAAGGACCACCCTAGTGAGGCTTTACATGTTTTTTAAAGCCTGCTAACAAGACAGCTCAGCAGGCTCAGCATCATGGCTAGGATTTCTAATGTTTTAACCATAAGCAGAGGATCAGAAGTTGTGTTGCCCTTAGTCATCACTGGAACACAGAGACTGGAAGAAGATAATTAGGATGCCTGAAAAAAAACCAACAACCCAAACAACAGTGTCTCTGCATTAGAAGAAACATTCCACAAAGAGACAGGATCACATCAGCAACTCCTGGCCTCCAAACAAAGGCACAGAGGCTTTGCTGGGATATCAGAGTGAGAGGTGCCTCAGCAGTAAGATTAATTGCTGGTCATGAGGCACACACAGCACACGGCATGTTACAGGGCTGGAAATGAAAGCAAACCTTACACTGAGGAGCTGGGAAGCTGAACTGAACAGGCAAAGCAGCAGAGAAACCTGGTGCCCCTTCCCTTTGGCATGGGGAGGTGGGACCTTGAAGGCTCAGGAGGAGAGGGTTACAGGAAATATTTAACAGGGGACAGAAGTCAGAAAAAGGAAGAGTAACTGAATTAAACTGCTGAAGATTCAGACTTGTTAAATAGAAAAAGTGAATAAAAATGCATCCCTTAGAAGAAGTTTTCATGCTCTCACGGGGACTCTAATTTGTCTTTCTGGCAATTATCCTCCCTTGCCACCTCACACACATTCCTGCCCTTTTCCATTGATGTGTTTATTCCTGATTGTATCAAGGGGCTTGTTGCACTGCTGCTTCTGCAGCAAACTGAAACCTGAGGATCACAGGAATGAAGGAACAGCATTCAAGTCATAGAATCATAGAATCATAGAATCCTAGGGGTTGGAAGGGACCTCGAAAGCTCCCCCAGCCCACCCCCCCTGCCAGAGCAGGGGCACCCAGAGCACATCACACAGGAACGTGGCCAGGGGGGTTGGAATGTCTCCAGAGAAGGAGACTCCACAGCCTCTCTGGGCAGCCTGGCCCAGGGCTCTGGCACTCTCACAGCAAAGAAGTTCTTCCTGAGATTCACATGGAACCTCCTGTGCTCCAGTTTGCACCCATTGCCCCCTGTCCTATCACTGGTCATCACTGAGAAAAGCTGAACTCCATCTTCCTGACACTCACCCTGAACATATTTGTGACCATGGATGAGGTCACCCCTCAGTCTCCTCTTCTCCAAGCCCAACAGCCCCAGCTCCCTCAGCCTTTCCTCAGCAGGGAGATGTTCCCCTCCCTCCAGCATCTCTGTGGCTCTGCCCTGGGCTCTCTCAAGCAGTTCCCTGTCCTTCTGGAACTGAGGGGCCCAGAACTGGACACAACATTCCAGATGTGACCTCACCAAGGCAGAACAGAGGGGAAGGAGAACCTCCCTTGACCTACCAACCACCCCCTTTCTAACACACCCCAGATGTCATTGGCCTTCTTAGTCTAAGCTAAACTTCTTAGTCTAAGCTAAACCCCTTCCCAAACCTGCTCACTCCTGGAGAAAAGAAGCGCTCGAGATCAGCGCTGTGTGAAAGAGATGAACCTGGGAA